TATGGCACGGGGCCATCTGTCCCGTCAATAGTTTTTGGGTCGTTTGCGTGTGCGTCGTCGATGAGCTTGATTGCCTTAGCGTAATTGGCAGGTAACGAGGTGACCGACTCCATCTTGACTGTTTATCGGTCCTGAGATAAGCGTGAGGGAAGGAAGGGGTGGTGGTGAAGAAGACTCGGGTTCTTTCCCCTTTCGGACGGCCCGGCGATGACTCAGCGGGTGGACACAGTGCGTGGGTCACTGTCCGTTGCTGGGTTGGGGTTGAGACATGGCGGCTCTGCAGCCAACGCCACATCATAGTCTTGAGCAAACGCAAAGGTAGGGTCAAAACTTGGAGTCATTCCTTGCAGTCAGCACGTTGTTGCCGTTATTCAGGGTCACATTTGTGCTATAACTTCCCCACCGCTCCCAAGTGTGAGGTCCCCTTGTTTACTTCAGGGGTAAACTCGATCATGATGTCATACTTGACCCACGAATTCAAACACGCCCCTCCATCCAACACCTGGTGGTTATCCAACTATTTCCCAGGTCCCCTGGTTTCAGTATGCCATTCATCTAATGTACGAGGATAGCCTGTGGCGCATGGTTGAAAGGCAGGCTGGAAAACGAAGTGTCCCACCAAAGTTTAGCGCTTCTCCCCGGCTCTTTCGCTGCTGTTCCGTGCTACGACACACATAACTCACTCCCCGTCGCCGTGGTCACTTGGGGTGGATGCTTGAGTCCGAACTGGGGTCATTCATTCGTCCAACCGTTTTCTAATGGGCATTCAAGATGCTTCCATCTGGCATCAGTTTGAGATTGGGTAGAAATTCCCACCGCGGTCTGGCTGAATCAACGGCTCACACGGCTCAGTGAATCAATTAAGATGGGTGTTCTAAACATACACCCTGATAACCTTTGGAGCGTTGGTTGGTGGGCGGTATGGAAGGCGAAAATTCAAGAGAACAAGAAGAAGCCAGTTCGCGCTTCGGTCCCGCCCGGCTTCTGGAGTGCTGGACACTGAACAGGATGCTTCCACCTAAGATTCAAGTTGAGGCTGTCCACAACTGGTTGCTATGGCCGGGGTGAATCAGCTCTCCTCATGCCCAATTTCCGACTGAACGCCCACACACAACCACTCCACTCCTACTACCATGGCCATGAGATATTTCCGTCCACTCGGCGGGAGCCTACAGCATTAGTTTGTCTAATTCATTTCCAACCCAAAAATAAAAATACAGGTCACTTCCATCCAGATACTGATACTAGATAGACACGACTCATTAGTGCCCGGCCACTATGGTCTAGATGAATCATATTCCTAGGTGAATCAGTTCCTCTCATTGTCAAACTCACAATCAGTGACTGGTTTCCATCTGGGCAAACACCTACAGAAGTATATAACCCTCCCTCCCCCTCCAGGAATTTTTCTTTTCTTCTTTCTCTTCAACCTTTCTCACCACAGTGCTCTAGTCCTTACTCTTCACCTGAGCTATCTACCTACACCTTCCTACCTTTCTCTTCTCACTACTCCTAGACAATTACAACATGTCACTCCCACCCCCTTACCCCGACAACCCCTGGTCCGTCGGCTAGTGGGCCGGGTGGAACGCGCGTGGTCAGGAAAACGGGAGGAAGCGGGCACGCAATCCTCTATATAGAGACGTTAGCACGCAGACCGATCCAGAGCCAACCGTAAGACGACCGATTATACCTCACAGGAAGCCTCTATTAACCCAATGCCAACAGAAGGAGACTAAAACAACTCCTGCTCCCGAGCCAAAGGGGAACATTTCCCAAGTCCATTGGACTGCCGAGAGTAAGTCTTCCTACCCGGCTCCCCCTTCGATCCTCCCTCAACATCTAACAACTCCTAGTGGATCTCACGCTCATGGGACTGGTCTATCGAGGCCAAACCTACGAGCAAATTGCAACCGTACTGCGGCTGCACCCGAGGGCCGTGGCGTACCGCCACGCCGACCTTTACGAACTCACACGCGAACGGTCGAGCGCCCCGGCCGTCCAAGGGCCACAGGTATCCAATCCGACAGCCATAGCCGCGTGGATGCGGTATGTCGGGGATAACAGCATTGACACACGTGGTCCTTTCCGACTGAGCCCGGATTCCAAGTTCGATCTCCACGCCGTTCAGGTGTTGGAGGTCCTGGTCAAGAAGGTGACGGGGGCGGACTGGCTGCGGACGAGGGACTTGGTGAGGCAGTTCACGGGGAGGGTGTACACCACGGCGGAGGTGATGCACAAGTACCATGAGGCTTGCTAGGGTTTTTTTTTTTTTTTTTTCTTTTGGCTGTGGATGGGAAGGACATCGCTGGTTGCATTGCAGAGTTGGAGCTCCGGTCAGTCTCGGAGGTGAAGTAATAGTAATAGCTAATATGGGTAGTCTTGGAGCGAAGGGGCGATTCCATTTTTCTTGCAATATATCATTTTTGTGTACTGGTTTCGTTTCACCCGTGACGGCAGTTTGGGAGTGTCCTCTTTTTCTATTACGGATTGCAACCGGACCTCGAACTCAAAATTCCCGCTGTGAGGGTGTTGAAGAGCTCGTCAAGGACGAGACTGCTGTGAGGAATATTACAGGAACTCACTGAGGGGGGTCAATCAACGGGACGTAATCTACATTGAGCTAGCCTGGATATCGCTTTTTACTGGCGGCAGGCCTATCTGCGATTACTTTTTGACAATGCCGGAAACAAAAGAATCAAAAGCAGCCGCAAGTCGTCCGCCACCCACAATATCGAAGGAGTCTAGGAGCAGGCTTCCATTCTTCTAACTATTTTTTCTTCATTTTCACAAAACTCCCGTCTCGTATTGAGCATTAGATTCTGTTCATTGCTCCAGCCCTGCGTCGTTCTGCCCTATAATGAAGACGAAGGGGAGGTTATCAAGTCATGACTTCCCACCGAGACCACCAAGTCGTAGTCTCGGTCATGGCGACGGTTTAAGGGGTCAACAAGGCACGTATTGGATAGAGTCATGGCTTACCCAGCCTTGAGATGAAGCTTAAGAGATAGTGGCACTTGGGATCACGATGGAGTGAGACGAGGGCACTGCACACACCTCGAACTTGATGCCGATCAGATGTATACGAATAAGGGATGAAGTTATCTCCATCGGTTCACCAGCAGCCCATTCACCGGTGGAAAGGAGTATATAGACACCCATCTTCTCCTCCGAATCTTTTTCTTTTCTTTACTTCTCTACAGCTCATAGCAGTAAAAGCCCAGTCTCGTCAGCTAAGCCTCCATCTTCACCTATATCTAGAGCTCTCGGCCTGCCTTTCCAACCCGCTTAATCTATTTCTCACTCTCTTATATCCACTCCCTTCATGTACCACCCACAACACGATAAACGCGATGTCTTCTTCGAGCTGCGGAAGTCCTTCAAGCGCTTGGAGTCACGAAGACTCCGACCACGAGCGCACTGCAAGATTGCGCCGTGCAGAGGCAAACTGAGAGGCAAGGGAACGTCAAAGGCACCGCGTCAGTACCCATAACACCAACGAGATAGCGGACGCCCCCGAGTTCAACGAGGCGGACGGCGGACCTCCTGCCTTCGAGGAATCCCAATGATGCAAGGGCTGGTGGAAATAATACGAAGAGAGGCGGCGACGGAGGGAATATTCGAACCCCTCCAGACGGTGTAAAACACCGCCTGTAAGTTCGACGCCGGTCTCCTTGTTTATCCACATCACTAATCCATACATCCGTAGCCCCCGGGAACACCAGCAAGCAGGCCAATCTTAGTCAGACGAGAGGCACAGGGGCCGGAGGTTATACCACCAGCAAGAAGCCAGCGGTACTCGGACGCGAGTGCGTAAACTACTTCGCGTTCAACCGCAGGAACTTGGGCCACGCGAACGCTGAGCACTTCCTACTCCACTGGAAGCACTCAGACGGCGGCGGTGCGGAAGCAAACAAGCCGGCCAGTTCCCAGCACACAACCACCCGTTGAGAAACCCGCGGCGCCGGCTAAGCCTGCTGCCCAACCATCAAAGCAGAAGCCTGCTGCCAAACCGGTCGCGCAAAAACCTGCAACCCAATCGGCTACGCAGAAGCCCAAAGCGGCCACCCAGAAGCCTGCCACCAAACCAACCGCGCAGTTGTCGCACACATGCCAGCGCTTCGGGGACCCGGTCAACCCGGTTATCCGCCACCGCAGCCGGCCCCACCGTCTACCAAACCGGAGGTGGCCTGACCACCGTCACGGGAGGCACGGGAAGAGCCCCCTTGGTGATCGCCGGCCCCCCGATGGGTTTCGGCGCTCCTCGGGTCCCAGCCCCCATCCCAGTCTCACCTATCGTGCTGTTCGAGCAATTCTGCCTACAAAACGGATACGATCTCCGGGGCCCGTACCGGCTGAGGCCGGATTGGAATTTTGACTGGCATGCTTGTAGGGTGCTGGAGGTCTTGGTCAATTGCGTGACGAGAGGGGATTGGCTGTCGGCTGCTCAGATGATGGAGACGTATACGGGGATTCGGTACCACCCTGATCAGTTGGTGGAGAAATGGAAGCAGTATTATTGTTAAGGGCGGTTTGAGACTTGGGAACAGGGGAGGAGTAGGTGGTAGATCTGGGGGGAGGATTGAGGAGGGTTGGGGCTCATGTCTAGCATCAGCAGGAAGTTTGGTTTCTGACCCCTGAATTCAGGGGCTTTTTGACAAGGAACATAGCCTTTTACCACCACTAATCTCAGAGAGGTCGCTAAATAGACCTCGACGAACTTTTATAGTACACGTGCTTAGCGCCGCCAATTGCCAAATCTCGAATGTTTGCGAGTGTTGCGTCATCTGTGAGACCAGCTGAAATTCAGGGGCTTGTGACGTCACAGGGGAAACAGCCCAGCTTGGCGCCGTTATGGCACTAACTCGAAGATCCCCTGCCTCGCCGGTTTCCCGCCGAAACACTAACAATTATCCTTGTGGCGCCACTTCACCCTCCACTTCCCCGCTCCCCAAGAACTTGAACCCCTCTTCTGAACTCTGCCTTCAACCAATTCACTCGGTTTTGTAGTGTAGCGGTTATCACTCCGGATTCTGATTCGAAACGAATCATTCCGGCAACCCCGGTTCGATTCCGGGCAAGACCTACGATTCCTTTTTTGCCCTCAATCAAGAGGAATGACACTCTTTTGTGTTGTTGGCGCTGGTGGTGACAGGGGCCTTGACTCTTTTTTTTTCCAGGCTTGAAAACGCCTGCATCTTCACACCCTGCGTGGCGCATGCAAAATCCCGAGAATCGTCGGGATGTGAGAGACACGATAAAGTGCATGCATTTTGAAGTCGTGGTTGCGCTGTAACACGAGCAAAACTTGAGTTTGAGGATCGTGCATTGAAGGCAGAAATCGCAGGATTCGGAATCTCCAGCTTCTCGTCAAGGGACATTTCGCACCCAAGATGCAAGTGATTTGCGTGCATGCAAGTAATCTACCATCAGAGTGCAATGAATACAAGGAGAAACAAAATCCTGGATGCGCAGACATCAAGCTCTCGTAGAGGCAGTGGTGTTGGTTGACCCCCTCATGACATCATGACGGGGTGTCAGAACGAGTAAGCAGCCTCGCTATATAGGTGCCTACTCCGCCACTTCCTCCAAGCAATTCCCAGCTACGGCTCAGGATCACCTGAGCAAGTCTTCCGTAGTATAGTGGTCAGTATGTGAGCTTGTCATCCAATGATTCGCTCGAGACCCGGGTTCAATTCCCGGCGGGAGAGATTCTTTTTGGCCCCGCAGCCGATGCCCCCTTTTTGCCCACGAGCCCAGCATCACCAGCTTGTCTCCCCGACGCGGAGGATATGTTCCCAACCGTGCTGTTTCTTTTTAGTAGCGAAGCGCATTTGCTGATCATGATTTCCCGCCATTTCTCGGAAACTGCAATATCTTGCTCTTCCGCCTCCCGCCGCCGCCTGCACGAGCAAGGTACTTCTTGCCATAAAACCTACGAAACATGCCTGATTAGTTCAAGAAAGGGCAGCAGGAAGCCACGCCACAGCAGAAACATCCTCCCGGCATCCTCAGCTCCATTTATAATGTCCCCCATCAGCACAAATGCAACCCAAGCCGTCCACGAACCACGCTCAACCTTCGCCACCGTCACGTTAGTGGAAGGAAATACCACAACTCTCCATGCCCACATTATAACCTTCGACACACCGCTCGAAACTGGTGACATGATCGGATTCAACATGATCGGATTCAACATGATCGGATTCAACATGATCGGATTCAACATGATCGGGGCCAACATGGTTCTTTGGTTGGTGATGGCTTTGCTCTGGGGTTGGATTCTCCGTTCAGAGAGCAGGCGGAGGAGTCTCGAGGCAGAGCGCAGTTGTCCACAAGGCATTGACGGACGGCCTCGAAGCACTGAGCGACAGGCTGCAGTCAAACAGTGCTGAGACAGCTGGTGATAGGGATGGGAGCGTTGGGATTGAAGTGGGAGAGAGGGAGGAGGTCGAGGCCTCAAAGGTAGAAAAGTGGATCTTGTCAAGTCGAGGTCTATCGTCGTGGGGTTGAGTTGATCAGGGGCAAATTCTCACCGGCCTTCGCGTACTTAGAGGGCAAAACTGGCAACTTGCCTCAATATAGCATGAAATAAGGGTAGATAAAATACACCCAATAGACAGCGATCAGCACAACCACCCCCGCCATGCTTTTGAACCCCTGGAAGATTACCTATTACAAACATCAAGACAGACAAGACCTGTATCGCCAACCGGCCTTCCAAGACACCGTCGCCCGCTTTCAACGTTTCGGGTATCACTAGACTGAAGAAGTAAAGGGAAAGGACCGAAATAACAACAAGACAGAAGGGCATAACGTCCAAATATAAGCAAGAAACCCCTTGGTCCTGTCGCTCCAATATAGTACAAATCTGTCCCTGTGTCCGGGCTCGTCTCCGGAGCCGGTATGCAAATGTTCAGATGAAATGCGGATGGGATACGTCTATATCATCCCTGGAGGCGGCGCGCTTGTCGTCGCTTCGGTCACGGCGGCGTTCGAGGTGCGAGGGGTCCCTTGGGTGCCGGTGCTTGATCCTTGACCTTTGCTCCTCAGTGTGGCGTTTGACCCCAAGCCCCGCTTCATCATCTTTCCGAGCACATTTACCAGTGCACACGCGTCGGTGAACATGTCGTTATCGATGCCCTCGGTGGCGTCGTACACCTCGGTGATGGTCTCCTTCGCGAGCTTGCGGCTGCCCTCTGTGTCGTGGACACACTCGTAGAGGAAGGCGGCATACTCCGTCTTGACGGAAAGTCGCAGCGAGTGGGATCCCCATAATAACTCCTCTGCTAACTGCACTGCCTCTTGAAAGTACCGATGGGCCTTTGGGAGGTAGTCGCCGGGTTCGAGAAGAAACGCTGTTGGGGGCTCTGTCGTCCGCTCCAGACCAAACCCTGGCGGTGGGCCAACTGGACCGCCTTCAGCATTCCTTATCGGCTGGGTCGAGTGCGGTATATCCTCGAAGAAATTATCTGTGGCAATCCCTTTGCCTTTGTCCACGCGTGGCGCTATGCTCGGGACGCTGCTTGACGTTTGCTCGGGAGTGTTAGTGCTGACTGTCGAGACTGGTGGAGTGTTGTGGAAGAGGACGTAGATGTGATAAAAGGAGGCGCGTAGTTTGTATGCGAGGACTTTCAGCTCGACATATTCCCCGACCATGGGTAGAACGTATTGGTTGAGTAGGACCAGGCCCTCGCGGGATAGCCATATGATGTGGAAGGTCAGCTCCAGGGCTGCTGGCGTCTGGCCAGCACCATGTCGCCGATGTTTTTGTGCGCTAATTAGTTGGGTTGAGAGGTTGATGGAGAGGCCCAAGATCTTGAACAGAATCTGGGCGAGAAGGGGGTTTTCGTTTTCGACTGCTTTGGCAAGCCTGCCGAGGAATTTCTGGTCAACCTCGGAGGAAGCCATCGGGATCGGCGGCCCGGATGCAGGTTGTTATGGCTTCTGTCGAAAGTCAGCGGCTCGCTCTCCCATGCATTACGGCTTGCTTAAGCAGCGTTGAGGGTGTCTGCTGCAAAGTCTGAAAGCAAGCTCGTAGGGTGACCTGAGCAGCGCCGGCGCAAGGCTGTGACGTACCTGACGGTCAACTGGGTAGAAACCGCAAGTTGGCAGATATAGAAACTGGTAGAAAGACAAAACAAAGCATCCACATCAGTGGGAGTTGGAGATGCAGACGTTGGGATGAAGCTGCTGGTTACGATGGAACCGGGCAGAGCTGACGACGCGGCAAGCAAGCTGGTGACGTTCCAGATGGAAGCCTTGGTACGGTCCTATCACAACTCCCTCACTGCGAGGTCCGCCTACCCGATGGTAGCTGACTGGATGAGACGGTGGCTGCCAAGACAAAACGTTTGCCACATGGAATGATCAGTTACGATGCGCCGGGATCTTGATGGCGCTGCTCTGGATCAACCCGAGCCTGATGGTGAAACCCGTGGAACGCGGTCCTGATGACCAGTGAGCTGTTGAGTTGAGGTGAGCAGTAATGATCCCCTGTTTTAATTACACAGCACTACAGCACCGGGGTTAGAGCCGAACGCGCAGGAGGACAACTCGTTCATTGGAGGGACACTGACCAATATGATACAGCGAAGTGGGAGCCCGGAAAGAGGTAATTTGTACAGGCGGAGGGCGAATCAGCGGGCTCGCAGCGGCGGACGTCACAAGGAAGCAGTGCCGAGGATGGGTTGAGGCTCAGATGTGGAGGTGGGATGAATGCGTCTAAAGCTGGGCATGGCGACGATGCTCGTGTACGCGCGTGTTGTTGTTGGCTGCCAGGAGACGCCCGACAAGGGGATGGAGGAGGCTCAAAGGTCTCAGGAGCTTGTGAGCGCATCCAGAACCACTCGGGTCAAGGGCCGTGCGCTTGTTTGGGACACAGAGCGGTGAACGAGACTCGCTTCTCGAAGGTCTCCAGTCTCTGTCTGCAGGATTAAAACCGGGTTGTCATCAAGTGGAGACTTGAGTGCGACCAAGGTCAGTGTGCGGCGCTCGAGTTGGAGCCGGTGGACGCCAGTCGTGGGTCAATTGGCGACCTGGCAACTGCGGGGGGCCGGTGGGAGGTTGAGCAGCGGGTAAGGTGAGGCAGAGAGCCGTGGCAATCGAGATGCAGACCACAAAGGAGGGTAAACAAGAATATTGGCCGCTTGGTGGGAGCCGGTGCCGAAGAATCGTGTGTGCAGGCTTAGCTGGAACGAGGGCAGATGCGCGGGCCAGGGCCGTATGTGTCTTAAAGGAGTCCTGCAGCACCCAGCAGCAGCAAGTAACGCAGGACGAGGGTCTCGCGCATGAACGAGTATCGCGCTGTGGGCCCCGTCGCCTGCCGGTGGGTTTAAACGGGACGCCGCAAGTGGGCAGCCGATGCCTTCACCACAACCACAGCCAAAACCGCGGTATGACGCCCAGCAGCGAGAAACAAGTCGACGAACAATCCGGCAAGGCGATTAATCTGAGAGAGACGACGGGACCCAGACTATGTCATACGAAGCCTGACCGAGAGCGACGGCGGCTCGGCTTGGGTCGAGAAGCGAATGGCAGCCGTTGGAGGTGCAGATGGAGACCTGCAAGGTGAGTTGTCCCCCGTCATTCAATCACTGCGACGCATATCCCAGCGGCCCATGGACTCGGCCCGCTAGACTCAGCGATTGGGTGACAACTTGGAGATGAACGAGAAGGACGCGAGTAGGGACGAGGCGCAAACAACAAGGCCTGAATTGAGCGAGCGAGTGGATGAGAGAGACGTGAGATCTCACGACCAAGGCCGATGGGGACGCGCCGGGCGCTGCCCAGCCACGTGCGCTGCTTTTCTGTTCCCTGTCCCTGCACAATCGATAAATCGGATGGAGTTTCTCAATCGGGCCTCAAGATGAGATGAGACGACGACGTTCACAGACAAAACAATAATGAGCGTGCGAGTTGCAAATGAATGACTTGGGTGAGAAGAACCGCTGTGGTGTGTGGTGTTGGTTGGTGATGGAAACACAAATGACTGAGACTGTGCCCAAAGATTTGGGGAAGAGCACCTCAATTGAGCCAGCAAGTCACCCGCTTTGTGTGACGGACCCTGGCGTCGATGGCGCCTGC